TCAGCCCCGTGCCGTGGGGTTGAGATGCCAGCAGCCCTTTGCTTTTGCTGCAAGGGGCATCAAAGCCTCCCTCCATGGTGGTCAAGGGCTGTTTGGGGCTAGAAGGAAACAGCGGGGATGCGGGATGCAGAGGGGAGCTGCACAGGCCCCAGAGGAGAGAAACGGCCCCACTGGCAACCTAGGATGGAGCCCGAGCTGAGATCTGCCCCGGAGGATTTCCTACCGGAGTCCACGCAACCCAGGAACTCACTGCCCCAGGGGACCAACAGGGCCAGCAAGGCAGGACAGTACATGGTGCTTCTCAGGGACAACAGCCAGCGTCACAAACAAGGAGGACCGAGACGGGCATCAACCATGGACCAGGGATGCAAGACTGGATGCAGGGAAACCAGAGAAACATTTAAGGACAGGACCAGCTCCCAGGGGTGAGAAGTGCCACCTGACTGAAGTGCAGAAAGGATCAAACCCTCTCCAGGTACCCAGACACGGTGGGACACGACTCTCTAGCAAAGGTCAGAGCTCAAACCTGCCCCCCACCCCACAGGCGCTGGTGTTTCACCCCTCCGCGGGACGCTGCTGGGCTGAGAGCAAGACACAAGCTGTGTCACCTTGCCATGACAGTGCCCAGCACCAGGGCCAACGTGGCCCAAATCAGGGGGGTGTTGCTAACACCTGTGTTACCTTTGGGAGCACACGTGGAGCTGGGCCCCGTACAGCCACCTGCGACTCTGCCCCTTCCCTTGGCAGCCTGGATGCAGCGCTGAGCTGGCTGATGGGGCACAAGCGTGCAGAGCCCACAAGGGAGAGAGAGGAGCCACCGGGCCCCTCCCGGGAGCTCCGCAGCATCGCCAAGGGAAGCAAGTGTCAGGGGTCTAGGCACAGAGGAGCATCTTCCCACTGCAGTGCACACGGGAGGAGCCTGCCAGCCAGCAGTGACCCCCCTCCAGCTCTGGTGCCTGAGACACCTTTATTCGGTGTGTAAAAACAGTTCTTTACAAAGCAGATTGACCCAGAACCTCCCCCCAGATCACAAATAGGCTGTGAGCTCCCACCCCTCCATAACTGCAGTTGAGGACACAGCCTAGGCCCCAGTTTCACACTTCGATGTGTATAAAAAACATCAAATTGTGAGTAGAGAAAAGCAAACACACTCAAATCAGTGAAACTGCCTGTCCCACCGCTGGCTTTCTACCTATCTGGCAGGGAAGAGGCCAGGACTGGGCATTTCAAAGGTAGGGAGGGGGAGTGCACAGAGCAGAGTTCCAGGGCAGCAAAAAGGCACAGGGCAAGGATCACCTTCTCCATCCCCGACTGCCAGCACAGGGATGGGGGAGAGGGGATATACCAGCAGCATCCATCCAGTTTTGGGATCAACCTCCCAGGGCTGTGGGAAAGGAGACACCCCAGTGCTGGGAGCAGCCCCTGCTCCCCAAAAAGTTACAAGAGGAAAAAAAAAAAAAAAAACCACCAAAGCAGCACATGTTGAGGTCCTGGCAAGAGGTGTCCGAGGTAACAGCCATCCGGGGAGAGAAGTCCCAGCGTGTACCTGGAGGAAGAACCGGACTGAGCAGCAGCCTCCTGCAGCAGGGCAGCTTCCACCCACGCTGGCCGTGCTGGCATCACAGCCACCAGGGCCCTCCCTCTGAGGCTGCCCAGCCCCTCACCTTGCCTGGAGATAAGTTACTGCTTCCTCTTCTACTTCTTGGCTGGCATGATAGGAGGAAGCTCCTCCTCCTCCTCCTCTGCAGACAAGTCATCATCGTCCTCAAAGGAAGCATCTTCCCTGTGCACTGGGACACACACATAACTGTTACTCACCAGTGTATGTCTCTGCAAATACATCCGGCCTGCAAGGCACCCCAAGAGCAGAGCAGCCCAAGGAGCACTGGAGTTTTAACAGCAGCTTGTGGGCAATAAGCTGTATCCCAGCTGGACAGACATCTCAGAGGGGAATGGCAACAGCCAGCCAAGGGAAAACAGGACAGTGTGGGACATCCAGACCCCTTTTCCTGTATGAGGCTTTACAGCAGGAAATGAATCCCTGCATGGAGATGGCCCCTAGGGAAGGGCACAAAGGAGGCACCAAGTGCATCTCCCAGGGGGTCCCCAGCACATTCTCACTAGAGGGAGCCCCTCCAGACTCCCCGCTCCTCCCGAACCTTTCCCCACCCACGAGTCCTTACTGATCTGGTGCCAGCCGGCAAGGTGTACTGGGCCAGAGCCTGATGCCAGGCGGAAGGTCACCGGAGGCTGCAGCTTGAAGTTGTCCAGACTCAGCTGCAAAGAGACAAGAGATGGAGCTGAGGCAGAAGGCAGAATGTCCTGCAGTCCCTGGCACGGCACCTGGCCCAGTTAAACATGTCCTTCTGAGGGCATCTGCAGCCAGGCCAAGGCTACCCAGGGCATTTCCCTGTGAGCTACAGACCAGCTCATGGTCAGGATCCTAGGGGAAAGGTCCACAAACATCCAGCCATGTCCAGTTCCCTGCAGCCATCCCCATACAAGTCTTCAAAACAACCTCTTACCAAGGGCTGGCAGGACAACTTCAGATTTGCCATGGGCACAGCAATCTCCTGGTTCTCGTGGTTTCGCCCAACGACCTCCACCACGTTGCACTCGTCCTTAGCACCATCCATGAGGCAGACCTGGGTGGGAGCGTAGATCGTGAACTACTGCTCTCCCAGGGGACACAGCAGGGACAGCCAGGGCTCCCCATGGGACAAGCGACCCACAGCAATGCTACCAGCCCAGCTACTGTGCAAGGTGTGAGGATGCTGCTCCACAAAACGAGGACAGAGGACCCCCCACCCCCCCC